TAACAGAGGACTGGCTGGCCTGGCGGACTGGGAGGCTCTTGGTCTGTAAGGGTAGAAAAGAGTAGAAGGGAAGGAGCCAGCATGGGATCACTAAGAAAAAGTCATACCAAACCCCATTCACTTCCTTTTTAAAATTTTTGATAGGGCTAATAAGATGGTTTTCAAAGCAATACTCTGAGGCAGAATGTATCTGGATTTCAGGGAGGAGTTTGACATGTTTGTTAAGCAAAGTTGGAGAATATTGGCTGGATGATAGTAGAAGATGAAGGAGTAGTTGAAGAATGGTACCCAAAGATGTAAACCAGCAAGGTCTTCAGTGGCGTGCCGCAGAGCTCTGTCTCTGGTTCTGTTTAATGCTTAAAGATGCAGTTGAAGACAAAGATCTTAGGAGGAAATAGCCCTCCATCCTAGCAAGAAGTGATGGCAAGGGGAGGAAAGAGGCACCTCCCTGTGCAAATGGTTTCCTTCTCTACTGACATGTTCTTAGAGGAATAAGATCATTTCCATCATTTAACTTGGGTTGACCAGTAACCCCTGATAGCTAGGCTTAGATGTTGACCCTGGTCCCTTGCCTGAGGGATATGTGGCCAAAAGGAAGTGAGAAAGGGGTGGGTAGAAGGTATAAATCAGTGGGGCTTCTTTCTGAGCAAAAGCCAGTTTTCCTTCTTCCTATTAGAGAAGCTTTTGATAAATACCTGTGTTGAGAGTGAGCAAGGAGCATGGGAGAGGGTTTCCTTTTTGTCCCCACCTGGGCTGGAGAGAAGAGAGGAGCAGCAGAGCCCCTCCTCTGGCTGTTTGCTTTGGGGACCACATCAGAGACCCTCTCCAGGGATAGCCAGGAGGAGGTGGCAGCCAGGGTAGACACACCTTGGGATGTGCAGCGCCACAGAGTGTCTGAGACCTTGCCCACTCTTCGCTACCCCCAGAGCACACATACTCCAAGCTTTCTGTCCAGCCGGCTCGCCTCCTGCTTTGGAAGACTGGTCTGCTATGTGCTCAGGAGGTGAAGCCAACACACACACTGACGAGTTCCACAAGGATTTGGCCAAACTAGAATGCCAGATGAAAGTCAGAGTGAACAGAAGGCCTGCACTTCTCACCAGTCCACAGTAGCACTTACGCGACCCCAGGTGTGGAGAAGATTCCTCTTATTGACTGCGAGTTCACTGGAAGTCACAATGTGCGCAGCTGCCAAAAACCCAGTGCAGGCTCAGACTTGGTGACGGTGGCCACAACAGAGGGAAAGGCGCTCCATTGGACTGATGTACCGCATTTACTCTCAGTTTATTCATTTATCAGTTAATAGACAATGAGGTTGTTTCTAGTTTTGGGCTATTATGAATAAAGTTAATAGAAACATTCATATACAGATTTTTGTGTAAACGTATTTTCCTTTCTCTTGGAGTTACCTAGGAATGGGATTACCGGGTTGTATAGTTGTTGCTGTTGCCTTTGAATCGATTGCGACTCATGGCAACCCCAGGTGTGCAAGGTAGAACTGCTCCATAGGGTTTTCAAGGTTGTGACTTTTCAGAAGCAGATCACCAGGACTGTCTTCCGAGGCTCCTCTAGGTGGGTTCCCGCTCCTGGTTATATGGTAAGTAAATGTTTAACTTAGTAAAAAAACAATAAAAACAATCAAAACCCTGCCAAGCTGCTTTCCAAAGTTGTTCTGCCTCTTCACTAATACTTGGTATTGTCAACTTTTTAAAATTTTAGTCATTTTAGTGGATGTGTAGTGGTATCTCATTGTTGTTTTAATGACTAATTTGTTAAGCAACTTTTCATGTGCTTATTTTCCATCTGCATATCTTTGGTGAAGAGTCTGTTCAATTCTTTTGCATATTGTAAAAGCAGTATTGTTTTATTTAAATTTCAAGAGTTCTTTGTCTATGTATTCTGGATACAAGTCATCAGATATGTGTTTTGCAAATATTTTTCTTGCCACCTATGACTTGTCTTTTCATTTTCTCAGCAGTATCTTTCGAAGAGCAGACGTCTTTAATTTGGATGAAATACAATTCATCAATATTTTCTTAAACGTTTTGTGTTTTATGTGTTCTACCTAAGAAAATTTTTGCCTAAGCCAAGGTCACCAATATTTTCTCTTGTGGTTTCTTCTGCAAGTTTTATAATTTTGACTCTTACAATTAGGTCTATAATCCATTTCAATTTACTTTTTGTATATTGTGTGAGGTAAGGGTTGAGGTTCCTTTTTTTTTCTTTCTTTTTAGCATATGAATATTCAATTAGTTCAGCACCATTTGTAATAAGATTATTCTTTCCCCCATTGAATTACCGTGACACGTTTGTTAAAAATCAATTGATATGTGGATCTACTTCTGGCCTCTCTTTTCTAGTCCCTTTTCAAGACCTTTGTCTTGTTTATTCTTTGTTCAGTTTTACATTACCTTGATTATTGTAGCTTTATAGTAGGTTTTGAAATGAGGTAGTCTAAGCCCTCCAACTTTGTTCTTCTAGCTCAAAATTGTTTTGGATAGTCTAGGTTATTGGTTTTACTTATAAGTTTTATAGTACGCTTTTTTTATTTCTACAGAAAAATGTATGCTGGATTTTGATTGTGATTGTGTTGAATCTATAGAGCAATTTGGGGAGCATCAACATCTTAATAATACTGAGTCTTCTGTTTCATAGACACTATTATATAGCTGTCCATTTATTTAGATCTTCTTTAATTTCTCTCAGCAATTTTCTGTAGTTTTCAGCATAGAAATCTTGCACATATTTTGTTAGATTTAACCTTAAGTATTGCATGTTTTGGATGATACTGTAAAAAGTACTTTTTAAAAAATTCAATTTCCAATTATTTGTTTCTAGTATCTAGCAGTACACTTTAATTTTGTACAATGATCTTCTATCTTTTTCAGTCTTGCTAAGATCACGTAGAGATTTTATGCAGATTCATTTGGATTTTCTAAGTGATCATATAATCTTAATAAAAGACAGCTTTATTTCTTCAAATATTTTTCTGCCCAACCCCTCTCCTGAGCTTTCTCCAGTTATATGGATATTAGATTGCTTGATGTGGTTCAATAAACCACTGAGGCTTTGTTCATTTTCTTTTAGTCCTTTTTCTCTCTGCAATTTAGTTTGAATAGTTTCTATCGACCTATGTTCAGGTTCACTGTTTTTTTTCTTCTGCAGCAGTGTTCAATCTGCTATTCAGCCCATCCACTGAATTCTTCATTTCTGATATTGTATTTTTAACTTCTGCTATTTCCTTTTTTTTCTTTTTTTTATATTTTATTGGACTTCAGGTGAAGGCTTACAGAACAAATACTTTCTCATGAAACAGTAGTACACATGTTGTTTTATGACA